TGTATTTGGAAAATTTTTTACATTTTTTTAAGACCCCAGTAAGTATCATTAGGTTTTATTATAATTTGACTCTAATGTATGCGTAAATGAGTTTAAGTATTAGTATATATACAATTTTATAGCATATGTGATATGCATATATAATGTAAATGATTTAATTCCGTGAAAGTCAAGCTTCCAACAATTGAAGACATACACGATTTTTGTTAAGAATAATCCATCTTATAGAACAAAATTTAGAGCACGCATCAAATTTTTATAACCTGAATAGCTGAGTGTATCGTTGTTTATGGTATTTTGGATTTAATTAAGCACTTTTAAATTGTCTTTTAAATTCTAACACCAGTTGATGTTTTGAGAAAGATTTAAAAATAATTATTACAGTTTAGAAGAGTTTTTTGGCTGCACACAAAAAGATTATCTTAAAAGCACATTGGTGATAGTGTTTCTATTTACTTCAAAGATAAGAAAATAAATTAAATGTTAATAATTTTAAGTGTTAATCAAAAAATAATATTATTTGGGATCAATTCTTAATTACATAATAAAGGCAGTTTAAAATAAATACAATATATTGATAATATATTATGGTACTCTTAGGAGTTAAAGAAATTTATATATATATATGAATACTATTAGTTTAGTAGTATTAAAAATTTCATTTTAAAATCATTTTATATCATTTTTATCATGCATAATGTGTTGAATAACATATTAACTAAATTTCAGATTATATTGATTGATGATTGAAATACGTAGTAGCATAGTTTAGTTGTTGTATGGGCTCTAATATTTATTGGCAACAAATGTTAAATCCCTTTCTTAAGTAACTAAAGGATTTCTTTCACTTCAGCTATATCCAAAAAACCCTGAATGGTTTTTATGTCGATGTTTGATCACTCTCATTCGTGGTTCAATACTTTGAACCTCTTGCTGTACTGTAAAAGTCGAGCTTTCATCAAGAATGTGTAAGCATACCATATTTCTATGTCTTTTATGCATAGTCTGCATTTGATATATGACAGTTTTAACCGAACTTTATGCTTGTTCAAAAAGTGTTAACCAGTTATCTGCTGATTTTATTTTGTAAAGAAGAACTTGATGCAACGGGATGTTCACTCGTTAGACCATTTGTGCTTGGAATGGCTACAATAGTTCAATTTAGCTAGGCCTTTGAAGTGATTTTTACTGACAATCAGAATTGGCTTCGGGCCATGTGTTTGCCTTGAGATAGCTTCTTTAGTAAATTTGTTCGCCATCTCATCGAGAACACTGTCTGTAGATATCCAGTATAAACTCACTTAAATTCCAGTATAGAGATCGATAGATATTTGATTCTCTGAGTTGTAGATTCTTAAGCACGAACCCTGTTTAGTATTGTAGCCATCTGTGCACAAGACAATGTCGACAGTAATGGTATTGATACTTCTACCACCTTCTGACTAATATTATGGTGATGTTTTTCCTGTTGTTCATGTATTTTAGAAGCATTTGGGTAAGAAACGTGTTGAAGTCTTTAGAATGTTGTAATATGGCCAACAAAAACATGTATCCTTTGCTAATCACAACTTCTTTGTTTAGTATACCATTGTAATATAGCCTGTATGTGCTTATTGATGGTTTTATCTGCACATTGTTGCCATAATAAGTAAGTCTTATTTTATGGACTTTTACTTATATATAATAAGGTATAATAAAGTAAAG